GGGGGAACAAAAAATTCGGACTACTCAGCGCAGTAAATAGTAAACTGGTTGCTTCCTGGAAGGAACAATTTCCCGGAGCTCCGTTTTAGCAGCCACGGGTTTGCCAGCCTTCGCCTGGCTTCTGAACAAGAAACCTTTCACAAGAAGCCCAACCCTGAGACCCCAGGACGCCCGTTGACTTTTGGTGTGGGAGCGCCACGCCCTCCAAAGCAGAGCCGTCGGAGTCCATGAAGCCCAGGGCACCCTGGAGGCAGGCAGGGTGTTTCCTGGCATTGGTCTCCACTGTACCTCCCTCTGCCTGCCTCCCTCCGCGACGAGATGTTCTGTTCACGTTCGGCCTCCATGGGGTGGGGGCCGTCGCTGGGTCCTTAAGCCTTAGGAGGAGGAGGAGGAGGAGGAGGAGGAGGAGGATGAGGAGGAGGAGGAGGAGGAAGAGGAGGAAGAGGGAGAGGAGCAGGAGGCGGAGGAGGAGGAGGACGGAGGAGGAGGAGGACGAGGAGGAGGAGGGGGGGGGAGGGAGGAGGGAGAGGGAGGGGGAGGAGGGAGGAGGAGAAGGCGGAGGGAGGTGCGAGGAGGGATGAAGAGGGATGAAGAGGGGGTCCCCGGGGAGCGGATCGAGACCTCCAGGGGCCCACGCTGTGACGACATCAGGACGTCGGAGATCTGTGGGGGGCCTCCTCTCCATCCCGCGAGGACGCACGAGTCGGATAGCTAGGGCGGGGGAAGTGGAGGGAGGACGAGGGGAGGGGGGGGAAGAGGAGGCAGGGGGGTGGAAGGAGAATGATGAATGAAGGGAGGGTGGAGGGACGGTGGAGGGAGGGAGGGTGGAGGGAGTAGGGAGGAGGGAAGATGGAGGGAGGGTGGAGGGTGGAGGAGGAGGATCCGCGCGCTTCGAGGGGGCGGGCTGACGGCCGCCTCCCGAACCGCGGGGGCCCGCCCTCCACCTCGGGCAAGGCCCCCGACCGTGATATAGGCGACGGCGGACTCATCCTTGCCGACGATGCCCATCACCAGGTGGCTCCACCACCTCGAGGTTGACGGTGTACTCCAGCCCGCTGCCGTCGCCGCCGCCGAAGGCCGCGACGTACGCGAAGTCGTCGACGAAGTGCGTCACCACGCCGACGAGGCCGTCGCGCCCCGCGCACCAGAGCCGCCCTCCCGGAGCAGCGCGCACGCGCACCCGGGATCCGACCACCGCCACCTCCGCCGGGCGAGCCGCCACCAGAGCCGCTCCCGCACCGCCAGCCGCCGCAGCCGCAGGCACCGCAGGAGCCGCCGCCCCGCCAGCCGCAGCCGCCCCCTTGGTCGCGGCGGCCTTCGGCACCACTGCCGAGCCGCCCGCGCCGTCGGCCCACTCGTCGGACTCGAGGTCCGACATGGGCTCCACGCCGTCGCCGCCGTCGGCCCCGCCATCAGCGCGCGCAGCCACACGCCGCGCTGCGAGTCGCTGGCGGCGGCGGCGCCGCCGCGCCAGCTTGGCCTCCGAGACGACGGGCAAGTTCTTCTTCACGTCCTCGGCGCCCGTATCGCCAGCCGCCGACACGGGCGGCGCGGCCACCGCGGCCGACGCCGCGGCAGCCACCGCCGTACGGGCGACAGCGGCGATGGTGCGCCGCGGCGCGTGGCCGTCCACGGCGGCGCGGACGGCGGCGGCGACGAGCGCCGCGCCGTCGAGCGTCGGGAGGGCCCCTCTAGCCCGCGCAGCCCGCGCATCAGCCATCGCGAGGGACGGCGGCGCGGCGGTCGCGGCGGGCATGCAACCGCTTGAGCCAAAATGGCTTGAGCCAAAACGGCTACGGAGGGTGGAGGAGGAGGAGGTGGAGGAGGAGGAGGAGGAGGGCGGATGGAGGAGGAGGACGGGTGGAGGGGGAGGGAGCGTGCAGGGAGGATGATGAAGGGACGGCGTCCTGCACGCAGAGGTCTTGCCGGGCGAGCCCGGGCGCGCCGCCCAGCGCACCAAGGAGTTCCGCCTGTCCAGCGTCAAGAGTTCGAGCAGGGGGTCGGCTGCAGAATTGATATTTTTACCCCCAGCTCGATGTGGCCGGCGAGTCGACGACGAACACGTATAGGCTGCTCCGTAGATCTACGGAGCACGCCGCGCAGTCCTCGTAGACCCGGCGAGGAACAACCAATAGGGGAACGAGCAATGACATACACATGACAACTCGGAGGTCCGCTCGGATTTCTCAGATCGGCGCTGCACTCCCCTCCTTTGCGCGCGGAGGCGCCGCCAGGGGGCTCCAGCGCCGACCCGAGAAGTTCGCGCGGACCTCCGAGTTGCTCTGTTCATGCCCTGGCTCCTTCCCCTGCACATCGCAGGTACGGCGAGACGCGAGCAAGTCTGGGGTCGATCGACGCTGTGGTCGATCCCCCTCTCGAAGGGTCGGGTGTGCTCCCGTGGCCCCCTCGGCGGTCCGCGGTCCGCCTCGGCGGCCGCAGGGGGCCCTCGGGCCGGCGACGAGCGGCCCTCGGTCGTCGGCGGGCCTGGGGGGGAGCCCGCGGTCGGCAGGCCCACGGCATCCGAACCCTGGTCCTCGCCGCTCGCCCGCTCCCTCGTCCCTCCTCCCTCCTCCACGTCTTACTCCTCTACCTCTTACACCTCCACCTCTTACTCCTCCTCCTTCTACTCCTCATTCCTCCTCCTCCTCCTCCACCTCTCCCTCCTCCAGCTCTTGCTCCTCCTCCTCCTCCTCCTCCTCCTCGTCCTCCTCCTCCTCCTCCTCCTCACCCCCCTCCTCCTCCTCCTTCTCCTCATCCTCCTCCTCCTCCTCCTCCTCCTCCTCCACCTCCTCCTCCTTCTCCTCCTCCTCCTCCCCCATACCTTCTCCTTATATATAACTCCTCCCTGTCGCACCCCGAGGCCATTTTTTCGGGCGGGCCGGGCGTTTCGCTTAAGACTTCCTCACCATGTATGACTCTGAAGCTTACAAAGTGGCAACAGCTTCGCAGATGGAGGGCGGGCCGCTTTCAAACTGTGGCTCTCGCCTTAGCGCCGCGCACATTCGTTTTACACAGTTGCAAGAGCTTCACGGATTGAGGGCGGCTCGTCTTCAAAATGTTGTTCTCGCCTCGACGCCGCGCACATTATTTGTCAAGCATCGGCAAGAGTTTCACGGATTGAGGGTGGGTGGTTTTAACATGTGGCTCTCGCTTAGCGCCGCTCACATTCGTCTTACAAAAAATCCAAGAGTTGCACGGTTTGAGGGCAGGTGGTTTTCAACATGTGGTTCTCGCCTTCGCGCCGCGCACATTAGTTTTAAACATTTGCAAGAGTTTCCACGGATTGAGGGCGGGTGGTTTTCAATATGTGGCTCTCGCTTTAGCGCCGCGCACATGGTTTTCTGTAGTAGAAAAGCATGCAAGAGTTTCACGGATTGAGGGCGGGTGGTTTTCAACATGTGGCTCTCGCTTTAGCGCCGCGTACATTCGTTTTACACAATTGCAAGAGCTTCACGGATTGAGGGCGGCTCGTTTTCAAAATGTTGTTCTCGCCTCGACGCCGCGCACATTCTTTTTCAAACATTGGCAGGAGTTTCGCGGATTTCCATGGTCAACGCACCAGAACCGGTGTTCTGGAAGGATTCCGGATTATGCGGGCGAAACAGTGAAGTTGATCCGTCGTGTTGTAGTTCCAAAAATGACGTTCTGGCACGGTTCTGTTTCGTCAAAACGGCAGTCAGCTTGATACGTGGCGTTGGCATCCCGAGAATAATGCTTTGCCACGCTTCGGGATCTTCGAACTGTTGTCTTCCAACGAGGCAGTTCCTTCAGTGGGAATGAACCGTTGTAGGGGCCTATGAAGAGGGAGCGTGGAGTGATGGTTAATTCAACATCGTTGATGGCTCTTGGGTTTCCACTGGTCCTCCTCCTCCTCCTCCTCCTCCTCCTCCTCCTCCTCCTCCTCTCTCCTCCTCCTCCTCGCTCCTCGCTCCTCGCTCCTCGCTCCTCCTCCTCCTCCTTCTCCTCCTCCTCATCCTCCTCCTCCTCCTCCTCCTCCTCCTCCTCCTCCTCCTCTCTCATCCTCCTCCTCCTCCTCCGCCTTCATCCTTCTTCTTTCATCTTCCTCCTCCTCCTCCTCCTCCTCCTCCTCCTCCTTCTCCTCCTCCCTCTCCTCTCTCCTCCTCCTCCTCTCTCCTGCCTCCTCTCTCCTCGTCCTTCCCATGTCTACCCCGGTCCTTGTACGCGTGTTGTCCCTGCCTCCTCCCGCCCCGCCTCCTCCCCCGCCCTCCTGCACGGATCCCCGCCGCGAGGTCCACGAGCAGAAGGTCCAGAACCTGGAGTACGAGCACAAGGAGTCGCGGCGACAGGTCCAACACCTCGGCGAGTCTGACATCCAGGACGCCGAGAGAGATCGGCCCTGCCCCCCACCCCCCCAGGGAGGGGCAGGCAGGAGGAGGGCGCTCCCTCCTCTCTCTCCGCGTCCTGCTCCCCTCGGCCTCCTCGCATGTCCTCGTCCGCTTCCCCCTCCGTCCTCGGGGGACGGCGGGGAGGGGAGGGGGGTAGGGGAGGGCGAGGGGGAGGACGCAGGGGAGGGCGAGGCGGGATGCAAGAGGCGAGAGAGAGGAGGCGAGGTGGGCGAGGGGAGAGCGCCGTCCACTCGTGTAAGGCAAGGGGGACGGAAGTTGGAGGGACGGGATGGGGCGGACGAGCGTAGAGATGGAGGCAGCGGCGAGCTAGGCGCACTCATTCCAAATCTGATATCCTACTCCTCCTGCTCATCCTTTGCCATTGCGTCGAATCCTGTCTAGTCACCAAGTCCGATGGCGAGTCGGACATCGATTCCAAGATGGCATGTGCAGTAATGGCCTGATTTGCCCAACTGGTTTGACCCAAATTGACGCTCAAGGCCGCACAAGGACGTTAGACTTGACCCTGGCTGGTTGACATGCGTCCTCCCATCCACCATATGAGATCCGCTCCTGCATCTGCAACTCATTTGTGTCCGATGTCTGACTTCTCGCATCCAGAGCTAAGCTGTTGGTGACCCACGCCGACCAGCCATGCCGCAAATCTCCCTGGACGCGGGACTGCAAGGATCCCGATTCGGCCTCTCTGCTCCAGCAGCTTCCATCTACAAGTATGGGACCACGAAGAACTGGGTTGCAGCGCTGAAGTTTTTCCGACAGTCATTGCAGCCCAACGCTCGAATCGACGCCAACTTCTACAGCGTAGCGATGAGCGCATGTGTGACGTGCACACAGTGGCAGCGAGCTTTGTCACTGTTAGATGAAATCCCGATCAGGAACTTGGCACCGTCCGTCATCTGTTACAACATTGGGATCAGCGCGTGCCAGAAAGGTCGGCAATGGCAGCAGTCTCTGCTGCTGCTCAGGGACCTGTGTGCGGTGAATTTGAAGCCAGACACGATCAGCTACAACATCGGAATCAGCGTGTGTGAGAAAGGCAGGCAGTGGAAGCTGGCGGTGTCGCTGCTCCAGGATATGCGGGAGTGTTGCCTGGAGCCCGATGTCAGCTGTACCGCTGGACCGATGCGCAAGATCGAGGCCGGCCGGCTCGGGGAGGGCACCATCGTGGTCTCCGTTTCTGTTGGATGTGTTTTTTCCAGAGGTTGCCAGAAGGGTTCGTTGGACAAGGTTGGTTTCGCTAGTCCTGAGGCCCCTAAGCCTGACCTGATGCCCCACAGCTCAACCTGAGGCGCCCCAACAGCCGTCGAAATCACCCTTCTTGAACCAGACCTTCTCGACGTTCCCGATTCTTGTGCATCCTGGGGAGGGTACCCTCGGATCCTCTCCACTTTTCGGCTGCGAGCCCGTGGGAGAAGTGAGAAGTTGCGGGCCTTCTCAGAGGGCTCGGAGGTCCCCCGGCCTTCCGAGAAGATTTCTGGGCCTTCCCGGAAGTGACAGACAATGCATCTCAGAAGGCGCGAGGGCTTCTGAGAAGTCCCGCCGCCTTCTGAGAAGGCCCTCGCCTTCTCACTTCCCCCTCGCTTGTTGCCGACGTGCAACCTGGAGCGATCGCGGCATCCCTTTCGCGCAGATCGTCCGATATTCACCGAACCACTGGCGGCGTTCCACCCTGAACGACCGCGCTGGGATCGCCGCCGAGTCCGCAAGGCGCGAACCACAACGTGCAAAAAATGCTCTCTTCAAATCTTACGTCTTAAGACACAACCAGACGCAAGTTGAACGATCTCGCCCTCTGGCGCCTCTGCGGACATGCGGATGCGCATGCAGAATGCACGCGTACAATACACATGTTGGAAATCCCTTTCGCACACGTATAACTACATGTGAAGAATCCGCCACCCCTTTTTTTGACCCCCCCCTGGTCTAGGGCCAAAGGCCTCTGGGCCCAGGCCTTGACCATGAAGAACAGCCAACGAACACCCCAAACTCGATCCTCGATTCTCGACCCGCGCCGACCGGGCAACGACGGCGACGACGACGATAACGACGACGATGACGACGACGACGACGACGACCACGACAACAGCAACGACGACCTGTTCTTGAAGGCTGCACTTCTGGCCTAGGCCCGACTGTGCTACGGAGGTGGGGCCAGGCTCGCGCGACGGGCGCGCCCCTTGAAGCGGCGCGTCGCCGACCGGCCGCCGCCCCAAGGCATACCTCTTCGACGGTCCCCTGGCGTCCTGGGCCGGTTCTCCGCAGGTGCTCCTCCTCCTCCTCCTCCTCCTCCTCCTACTCCTCATCATCATCCTCGCTCCTCCTCGCTCCTCGCTCCTCGCTCCTCCTCCTCCTCCTCCTCCTCCTCCAACTCGCTCCTCGCTGCTCGCTCCTCGCTCCTCGCTCCTCGCTCCTCCTCCTCGTCCTCCTCCTCCTCCTGCTCCTCCTCCTCCTCCTCCTTGAAGGAGGAGGAGGAGGAGGAGCAGGAGGAGGAGGAGGAGGAAGGAGAAGGAGGCTCCTTCTCCTTCCTCTCCTCCACCTCCTCGTTCTCTACCTCCTCCTCCTCCTCCTCCTCCTCCTCCTCCTCCTCCACCTCCTCCACCTCCTCCCTCTCCTCGTCCTCGCTCCTCTTCCTCCTCCTCCTTTTCCTCCCTTTCCTCCACCTCCTCGTCGTCGTCTCCTCCTCCTCCTCGTCCTCCTCCCTACTACTCCTCCTCGTCCTCCTCCTCCTCCTCCCCCTCCTCCTCCTCCTCCTCGTCATCCTCCTCTTCGCTCTCTCCTCCTTCTTGCTCTCCTCCTCCTTCTGCTCCTCACTTATCCTCGCTCTCCTCCTCCTCTCCTCCTCCTCCTCCTCCTCCTCCTCCTCCTCCCCCCCCTCCTCCTCCTCCTCCTCCTCTCTTCTCCTCCTCCTCCTCCTTCTCCTCCTCCTCCTCCTCTTCCTCATCCCCCTCCTCCTCCTCCTCCTCCTCCTCCTCCTCTTCCTCCTCCTCCTCCTCCTCCTCTCCTCCTCCTCCTCGTCCTCCTCCCTCCTCCTCCTCATCCTCCTCCTCCTCCTCATCATCATCATCCTCCTCCTTCTCCTTCTCCTCCTCCTCCCCTGCTCCTCCTCCATTTCCTCCTCCTTCACCTCCTCCCTTCGTCCTCCCTCCTCCTCCTCCTCCTCCTTCTCCTCCTCCTCCTCGCTCCTCCTCCTCCTTTTCCTCCTTCTCCCTCAGACCGCCCCAAAGAACCACCAGAGGGCGCCTCTGACGACCCGAGCGGCCCACGGGGCCCAAGATAGCGCCTCGATGGCTCTGGGAGGCGCCGCAGTGGCTCCGCACAGAGACTCCGAGAGGCTGATGCCGTCACATCTCTGCGGGTGTTCGCACGCTTGTCTTCACTCGTCCGCTCTGGACGACTTCCTCCTCCTCCCTCTCCTCCTCCTCCTCCTCCTCCTCCTCCTCCTCCTTCTCCTCCCCCTCTTCCTCCTTCTTCTCCTCCTCCTCCTCCTCGCTTCTCTCCTCCTCCTCACTTCTCTTCGTCCTCCCTCTCCCTTCCCCCACCTCCTCCTCCTCCTCCTCGCTCTCCTCCTCCTCCTCCTCCCCTCCTTCTCCTCCTCCTCCTCTTCCTCTTTCTCATCCTCCTCCTCCTCTCTCCTCCTCCTCCTCCTCCTCCTCCTCCTCCTCCTCCTCCTCCTCCCTGTCATCCTTGTCTCAGTCTTCGCTTTTCCGCTCCAGGCGACTCCGAGAGGGGTTCCACGAGGGCCGAAGAAGACCACAAGAGTTTCCAGAAGGTCCTCAGGCAGCCCCCAGCTGGCCTCCAAGGTTGCCCCGAAACATTTTCGAGAATACCCAGAAAGACAGCCGCAGCACGGCCTCACGATCCCTCTCTAGACAGGCCCCAGTTCCCCAAGAGGGCCCCGCGGCGAGGTACCAGGGCCAAGCGAGGGGAAACACCCCAACCCCAATAATTTTCGTTGTCGGAGCAGCCCCGGGCGTCGACTACCCAGGCCTGCCCTCTGCGATCCCTTTTTCATATGTGCGTTTAGGAAAGGGCTCCGCTTGCAGGGGTGCATCCTGGCATGACGGGACACGCCAGCGTACGCAACACGCTAACACCATAGCCAGCAGCAGCAGATCTAGCTGCCGCCAGGAGAGGCACTCACCGGCAAGCAGCCGCAAGCAGCAGCAACCATGACCCGCAAGCAGCAGCAGTCAGCAGCAGCCGGATTCCACAACAGCACAAGTCAGCACGACACATCGGTGGGCAACGTAAGCAAATATCAGCAGAAGGGAGCAGCCAGCAGCGGCCAACCGCAGCAAGTTACGGCAAATGGCGAACAGCAGCCACGAGCAGGAGAAACAGGATAGTGCTGCTCAACGTTGATATCTCGGGTGTGCACGCTAGTCAGCTACAGCGCTGGAGTCAGTGCGTGCGAGAAGGCTGGTCAGTGGCAGCAGGCGCTGTCGTTGCTCAGCGAGCTGTGTGCGACGAAGATACAGCCGAACGTTACTGGCTCTGAGAGAGATGCCGTACACAGTTCCATCAATACGAAGTTGCTTGCGGAATCTGGGAATTCCAACGGGCATGGGACTGGTTGTTGCTGCTCTCTGGCCCTGTGCCCTCTGGTTCACCGTGGATGGCTCCCCTTCCCCTCCCACTCCCCTCCTCAGCATCTCCTCCTCCTCCTCCTCCTCCTCCTCCTCCTCTCCTCCTCCTCGTCCTCGTCCTCCCCCTCCTCATTCCCTCGTCCACCCAACTAGCCCGTAGGGATTTCGAACCCCCTCTGAGTGGCATCGCCCACCACTCCGTTACATCGTGGGCAGCTGTCCCGTTGATCTTAACATCCCCTGGTCCCCCCAAAACGCACTCGAGATTGGTTTGCATCGCTGCTTGACTTGACACTTAACCGCTTGGCGCGTTCTGAAAGAACTGGTACCGCCTCCTGTGTTGGTGTTTGTTTGGAGGAACAGGGATGTCAGTTGCATGGTAGTTGGCCATTTCCGCGGCGCCCATGGAACATTCGAAGCTTGGCCGTTGAATGTCATCGGCTCCGAGTGTACCGATCGGTTGCCAGAAGTGTTCTCAGCTTGCGCGTCGTGGGGTTAGTTAGTGGCAAGCACGGACGCGCAGGAGACGCTGCGTCAAAACTTGCGAACGGCATACAGTCCATCGCAATTGCTGGTGAACGATTACTGTCATCTGTCGTATGGCGCCATTGCAGCAGAGCGCATGCCACCCCACCCCGAGACTTTACAACAGCATGTGCCACGGGTTGCGCCCGAGGTTGCGGCATCGGCTGCATTGTGCAACCGTCAATCCACCACATCGTCTAATCTTTATCGGGTGCGCTTTTGCGCTCCAGGTTGCGCAAGGCGCCCCGCAATCCACCAAGTCGGTTGCTCCATAATTGGTTGCAGCATTGCGCCAGTTGCAGCATTGCGCCACAGGCTACGCCAAAAGCTGCGTTGTAGGTTGCGCCAGGCATCCTACCGACTTCCGCAACATTGTTTGTTTTTCTTGTCATTGTACCACTGCCCCAGGGGTTGCGCCATGCGTTCTGCCATATATTGCGGCGGGCACTCCCCAGAGGTTCGCCCGCCCCCCGCTATTTACCGAATCGTGTGCTCCCTTGTTGCTTGTTTGTCGGTTGTGCCAGTGGGCCATGGGTTGCGCCCTTGGTTGCGCCAGGCACCATACCAGATGTTCAATCGTATGCTCTGCTGTGGTTCAAGCTATCCCAGCAGCGCAAGCCCATGTTTCATTACTCGTTGGTGACCACGGTGCCATATATATATATATATATATATATATTGTGCCAGGCGCCCTGCGTGCTAGCCTCACCTCGTTTGCTCGATGACCGACTTCAAGCTTACGATATCGTAGCGCAGCCGGCTGCTGCATAGGTTGCACCAGGCGCCCCGCGATCCGCAGAATCGTCTGTTCAATCGTTTGTACGCACCATTGAGCCATCGGTTTCGCCATAGGCTTCGACATAGGCGGCCGAAGGTTGTGCAAGGTACCCCGCAATCCGCCAAATCGGATGTGCCAGTGCTGTTTGCACCATTCCGCCCTAGATTGCGCCACAGGCTGCACCATCGTTTCCGCCATGCACTCCGCGATCCGCATACCGCCTGCTCCATTACGGCA